GCACAGGATGCTCAGGATGGTCTTACAACCCCCCCAAAGATGCACCTGACATCTACATCAGCATCTCCTGAGCATCCACGAGCATCTCCTGGCCAGGCTCTGCGTTGGACAGGCACCTGAATGTCCCCCACCCGAGCCCCCAAACACGTGCAGGCCACCACATCAGAAGAGAAGGCTCAGCAGCCACTCCTGGTTTTGCCCAAAGGCAGACGATTGATGGCCAGGACCCCCCAGGATTGTGTTTTCCTTGTTATGGTTTCCCCCCGGTGTTTGGATGAAGTGTCTGGGCACTGGCTCTGCTCTCAGCTTTGTTTAGAAGGTGCTGCCAAGGTAATGCTGCTCCCAGCACTGCTGCACGAGCACCACGTCCCTGCAAAAACCCAGCCCATCCTGGGAGGCTGTTCCTGTCCCCCTCCTTATCCTGGGCACAGAGCTGGCCCCAGACCCCTGATTCCTGCCCCTAATGCTGCCTGTAACTCCAAGCAAACCCTACAGCCAGCCCAGAGTGGGTCTGCTTCTCTCTCTGAGCCCTTCTCTGCTTGCACAGAAGCAGATCCAAGGGATTTTCTGTTAGATTAGGTGGGGGAAGGAATGGAAATAATTCCCCTTTGGGAATGGAGGACACGGAACTGTCCCTGTGTGGGGCTGCTCCTGGTAAAATCTCCAACAAGTGGTGGCTCATTCATCTCCCAGCAAGCAGAGCAGAAAAACCTCTTATCCCTGAATCAAGGGTTATTATCACCTGGGATGTCTCCAAAATCTTCCTATAAAATGTTACCATCACGTTTGGTTCAGCTGAGTACAAACTTCAAGCACTGGTGGAATTTTGTTTTTGCCCACCTGTGAATGACAGAAAACTGTGATTCAGTTTTGCCTTGTTTTTGTAATTCTGCTCTTCCACAGAAGAAAATAAAAAAACAAAGTATTTTCCTTCTTATAAGAGACCAATTCTTGGAATTAAAAAAATAAATCACTTGAGACATGCCTTCCCCTTTCATCTTGTTTGAGGGCACGGCGTGATCTTCTGAGAAGCAGAATCAAAAGGGAGAAGTAAAGGCATAAGAGCAGCCCCCACAGAAAACATCACCAGTGATGCCAGACATGAAACAGAGTTATTTTTGCCCAAAATAAATGTCCAGTTTGGTTTCCTCTGCAGTGGTAGGAACAGAGAAGTGTGTTTTAAATATTTGCTGAGGTGGCTGGATGTGATGGACCCGCCTGCAGGAAAAGGAGAACCAGCCCAGGACTTGAGCAGATCCCTGCATTGTCCAGGGAAGCAAATGGTCCGTGCTCTGCGTTTGAATTCCTGGAAGGCTTTGGTGCCTCTGGGAGATGCCTCATGCCTTGAAGTTATTTTGGGTTCTCAGGAATCCCCAAGGCCCCATCCTTACAGCCCTTGGCAAGGGGATGGGCAAACTGAGTCAACAGCACTGCATTTAATGGTATTAATGAGGAAAGAATTGACCTGAGAAATTACTTAAGAAAATACTTTTAATTCCCCTAATGGAAATGCACAGACTCGTTGCACAGACTAAGAGTTGCACATCAATCCAGATGAGTGATTCCATCCATGGTTTGGAAGTCACATGGAAAATTCCTTATTGCTTCCAGGACTGAGCACAGGGCTCCCACAGAGGCAACAGGAAGGTGCACCAAGTTGATTTTAACATAAAGCACTACAGCTGTGTTGCACAAAATTCCTGGTGAAATTCAGCTGTCTCATCCTCGGGCTGTCTCCACCCATCCCTAAGATGTTGGGTGCCCACAGGGTGGGTGGCAAATTGGGACAATTCTGTTTGGCCCTGGTTTATGGTGATGGACACTGATCATGGAGCTCCTCAGGGTGGCTCATCCCTGAAATGATGGGTTTCAACCTTAAAATAACTGTTCTACCCCTTGGCTGTGTGGTCTCTTTGGGGTGGTGCAGGCATCTCCAGCAGCATTTTCACACTTGACTCCTTGCTGTGATTGGGATCAATCATTTCCCAGAGAAGGCTCTCCAGCTGCAGAACTGCCTCAGATCCAACAGCCAAAGCAAACAAGCTGATCAGGAAACAATAATGAGTTGAGGGAAGTTTTTTTTTAAATCTTTCCTGTGTGGGAAATCCCAAAGGCATCTCCAGGTCTCGTGTGCTCCGAGCTCCTTTTTCCTCATTGTGGATGTGGTCTGGAAAGCAGAGCTGGTGATCCAAAGTGTGCTCCACCATCACTCCCAGGCAGCATGGACACATCCTCCAGGTCCCCACAGGGGTCTGAGCTGCTTTTGGACAACCTTTCGTCTTCCTTGGATGGGAAGAGCCACAAGAGAAGTGAAAACCTAAGGGTTTTCAGGATGGAGGCCAAGGAGCCAAAGGAGAGATTGTGGCCAGCCTGGAGGCATTTGGTTTCCACTCAACCACAAAAAGTTTGGAGATGTCCCCATCCCAGACCCCAGCTCTGTCCTTGAAGAGAGAAAGTTGACCACAAATTGTGAAGGTTTGAATTGTGAAGGTCTGAATTGTGGAGGGCCCCTCATGGCAGCGGAGGGTGACCAGTTTCTCCACCTCAGAAGTCCGGCAGAGAGAGGACTTGTCTGACTTCACCCCAGTTGGCTGCACTTCTCTGACTGTGGTGAACTCTGGTTGCAGCAAGAAGGTGCAGAGTTCCATCAGAGTAGACCTCAGTAGATGAGACTTTCTGCACCAAACACCTTCTCTGCCAAAAATCCACCAGGGACTCAAAAGGTGCTGGGATAGCAGATGTCCATGGAGGAGTCTGGGGTGACCATATCCTCTGAGCTGGCTTAAAAAGAGAAAGTTGTCACCAGCTGTGACCTCCTCATGAGCAAGCTCAACCAGATCCACCATCCTGGCAGGCTGGAGTTGTCAGGACATGAGAGATTAACTCCATTTCCGTTACAAATAGCTTTTAGATGTAATGAAATTCTTCATGCAAGACGTCTCCGGTCTGGTGAGACGTGGTGGAGCCCGAGGCAGAAGGGACCCAGCCTGATCCCTGCATGTCTGTGCTGGGGAACAACCTGAGAGCTCTGAGGAACCTCCCCGTGGGGACAGCCAGTGTCTGGTGGTGGGGACATCCCAGCCCCGAGGCTCTCAGAAAGCTTCAGCATTTGAAAAATGCTGCTTTTCCCCTCCAAGAGGTTTTGCAGCCCTTGAAAGACCACGTTCCCAGTTCCAAACTGCCTCCCTGGCCTTGACCGCAGATGTCTATGTCCAGCCATTCTGGGATCTGCTGGAAGCTGGAAGGCTGGGTACCAGTGGGAAGCTGCAATTCCCCCCGGGAAGAGCAATGGCAAAGGTCACTCGCACTCAGGAGCTAATGCAGTTACTGGCAGCATGCAGCCGGAGGAACAGAAACCAGGGGCTCGGAAACTCAAATCCAGCCACCGTGCCAGGCCTCTCTGCCAAGGATTAATTCACTCAGTCAGACTCCAAGAGGAACCCAGGCTAGTCCCTTTCCCCACTTGTTTTTCCCAGTGATCCTTTCATATTAATAAAAAGAGGTATAAAAACAACGCTGATTTTATATTTGCCTCTCCTATCCCTGCTCAGCCCCCAAAAATGTCATTTTTGGGGATTTCCCATTAATTCCAGGTGCTCTAGGGCTGTGTGGCTCAGTGGAGGCGTTTGGAGCTGGCAGGCAGCCAGAAGCCACTATTATATTTTCTGTTTTTTAACACTCCCACCATTATTTACAGTGTCCCCACAGCAGGACAGCCGGCTGCTCACCTTGGGGACCTGCAAGGACACCCGCCGTGCCAGGAGGGAGGACACCAGCCTTCCCCAAAGCCAGAGGCAGCACTGGAGGTGGGATGGATGCCCTCACCATCAGTTCCTTGGGAGGAATGGGTTGCATCCATCCTCAGCTGCATTCCCCGGATGCTTGCGGGAAGTCCTGGGCTCCCCATCCCAGGAAGTTGGGCTTGTTTGCACAAGGTGTGTTTTCTGGGGAAAAACACATTTCCCCCCCCAGTTTTCCTCTCCCCGTGGAGGCTGAGGGAGCGGGGAATTTCACCAGGGCACCGAGCCATGGCCAACCCAACCCCACAAGCCTGGGCAGCCCTGGGACATGAGGGATGGCTCCAGCCTGGCTGTGGTTGCAAATATTCGTGTCAGATCCTGCCAGAGCCCATCTCTCCCGTGGCCACGCTGCCCGGCTTGGCCGTGGGCTCGTGCCAGGATCGATGGAAGCCCGCGTTGTCCATTGCAGCAGGATCCAGATGCCTCATTCCACCTCACCGTCTGTTCTGTACAGCCCAAACCTTCCCCAGGGATATTTGGGTGCCTGCTCAATGAGGTGAAGAGGGGGAGCCCCCCGTATGGAGTCCCATCGTCTGGGTAATGCCTTCAGCACCTCCTTCCCTTCCACATCCGCCGAGACCCAGCACGAGCCCCCAAAGAGAAAGCAGGGAATGATTCTGGAGGGCTCCCAGGGAAAGGAAGGGTCAAGCCCATCATCCCGAGGAATCCCAGCATCCCAGTGCTGTTTATGCGTACCCAGCCCGTCCCCCCGGGCTTCTTTGCCTTATTGCTCGTTAATAGCCCTGCTCAGGAAGCGCGGAGCCTTGACCGCCTGGTTAATGACTACGGGAGGCACCGAGCCCTTTGGCTGCGACCCGGTGCCGCAGGGAGACCCTGTTCCCGACACCCAGAGCCAGGACAAGCCAGCTGTTCCCTAGTGCGTGGGCATCCCACCCTGTAAATCCCACTTTTGGGGCCGTTGGAAGCCCCCCGGCAGCCGCTTTGCTACAGATGCCCGCCCAGCAGCCTGAGCCAGATGTTTTCCCGGGAGCCCCCCATGCCGAAACGCCAGCCCAGCTGTTTGTCCCCCCTGCCTGGCCAGCTGTGACCCCTCCCCATTCCCCTCCGGGCTGTCCCGCAGGTGCCGGAGCCGGAGCGGGGCGGAGAGGGGCGGCCCCGGGGCGGAGCGGCGGCAGCGGGGCGGCTCCGGGCGCTCCGTGCCGCGGGCTCCCGGCGCATCCCGCTGCCGGTAAGTGCTGCCAGCGCTGGGAACGGGATCCGCCGAACCGGGCCGGGATGGGGCCCGGCAGGCTCCGAGTGAACCGGGCAGTTTGGGACCCGCCAAGGTCAGACCCAACCGGGCGGGATGGGATCTTGGTGAATTGGGCAGGATGGGGCTGGACCGGGCAGGATGGGGCTGGAAAGGGCAGGATGGGGCTGGAAAGGGCAGGATGGGGCTGGAAAGGGCAGGATGGAGCCCTGCGGGGTCAGAGTGAACCCGCTGCCTCCCGGCGCATCCCGCTCGGGTAAGTGCCGCGTACCGGGAGTGCGGGACAAGCCGAACGGGGAAAGGATGGAATTCAAGTGTGTCAGAGTGAAGCAGGCAGGATAAGGCTGGAAGGACGGGATGGGGCTGGACCGGACAGGATGGGACCCGACAGGGTCAGACCCAGCCAGGCAGGATGGGACCTTGTAGGGTCAGAGCGAACCCTACAGCTCTTACCCTGTGCATCCCTGCCAGTAATGGGGAAAGGGGGACGGGATAAGATGAACCGGGAAATGATGAGATCCGAGCGGCTCAGAGAGAGCCGGGCAGGATGGGACTGGACAGGGCAAGATGGGACCCAACGGGGTCAGCCCCAGCTGGGCAGGATGAGATCCGAGCGGCTGAGAGAGAGCCGGGCAGGATCAGACCCGAGCGGGTAAGGCTGAACCCGTCAGGATGGGATCCAACAGGGTCAAACCAAACCGACTGGCCAGGACTGGACCCAAACAGACCAGATGGAGCTGGGCAGGATGAGGCAGAACAGGGGAGAATGGAGTCAGATCCAAAGAACACCCGTGCTTCAGCGGGGATTTGGGGTGATTCCAGAGCCACTCCAAATGGGAGCTGCCGGACTTGGCTCTTAAGGAAGTTTGACAGCTCTTAGCATGGAGCAGGGTTCAAAATCCCACCGTGATCCCCCTGGCAGGGCTGGCACAGGGTGGATTCTCCCCTGTCCCTCTGCTCCTGTGGTCTGGGGTGCACCTGGGACACGCCTGCATCCCTCAGGCATCCATGGGGATCATCCCCAGATCAGCCAGAGGTTGTATTGCACATAAATGTGCTTAAATCTACTCGAGGGAACCTGGTTTTCCTCTGCACCTCTGCAGTGGGTGCCAGTAGCCTGGCCTCTACCTTTTATATATATATTTATATGTATCTGTGCATATATACATCCAGAGGTATAAATACATTCCTATATACGAGCATGTCTGCACAGAGGTGTGTGTGTAGATGTATAAATGTATTTCTGTGTGTTTGGATGGAGTTATGTATCAACATGAGTATGACTCCATGTGCTCAGGGACATGTATTTGAGTACAGGGGTGTAGAATTTTGTGTATGTGTGTGTGTGTGGAGAGATATATATTTATAAATACATAATATATGTGTGTGGAGAGCCATAGATATGGTTGGATGTAGTGAAAGACATATGGAGAGAGAGATGTGCAGGTGTTATGTATAGAGGTATATATTTTTATTTGTGTTTGTATTTATATTTACATGTATAGAGGTATAGGCCAGCAGAGACTGGGAAATCTCATTGCACCTTCCCTGTCCCCATCCTTCCCTTTCCAGCAGGGAATTGCAGCCCAGGTTGAGCAGAGCCTCCCTGAGGTGCTGATTTATGATGGAGCCCCAAACTGCAGGAAGATGAAGGACAGAGCGGCTCTGCCACCATCCTGTGCCCCTTTTCCCTTTTTAGTACCCCAAAAATCCCAATGTTGTCCCAATTTTTCCACATCCTTACACCCTCAGGCTTCACTAAATAGAGATTTCCCTTAAAACATCCAGTCCTGGGTCCCCACTGGGCAGATGTGCACCTGAAGATATTTTGGCAGCAGCCAGGAGATGTTTGGGGAGGAGGATGTGGTGGCTTTGGCCAAGTGACATGCAGGATGGAGCCTCCCCCTTTCATGCTTTTGGAAATCTGCTGAGCTGCAGCTTTCACTTCCACTCAGCCCAGCTTTCCAGCCCTGCCAGCGAGCCACAAAGACCAGGATGGGAAAGATAAACCACGGAGGAAGATTTCCAAGGGAGAAAGCCCTCCCCCACATCCTATTCGAGGGCAGCAACATCCAAAAGCTCTTCCCACTGTATCCAAGCCTGCAGAACCCCCCTTCAAATCAATAGCAGGGTGTTAATGAAAGCTAATTCCACTGGAGAAGGGCTTGGTTTGAAAGCAGAGAGGTTGGAGGGGGCACGTGCAGGGGGAAGCTTGTGGCTGATGGTGATTATTTTTAATCTCTTCCCCATCTGGCCACAGAGCAGTCCCACTTCTCTTTCCTGGTCCTTGTTCCTCCTCTACAGGAATCCTTAAACCTCTGGGATGAGGGTGACCCCCTCCTGACCCCTCCCAACACCACCCTTTTTTTTCCCCCTGAAAGCCTCATTTCCCAGTGGATTTCAGCCAGTGCCCATCACTGTGGTGGCAGGGCTCCGGCTCCTACAGATTCAGCAATCCCAAGAGCTTTGGGATTCTTGAGAATCCCAAAAGATTGATTTTGGGATCTCAAAAGATCTCAGGATTTTTCAGGGATTCCCATGATGGGGTTTTGGGGTGAGAAAAGGGACTTTTGGGACAATCCAGCCAGACAGACAATGAGGTAGGAACATGCCCTGGGCACAGAAATGGGTTGAGGCTGCGGGTCTCAGGGTGATTTCATTAATTGGTTTCATTAATTGGTGGGTGCTGGCAGGCTGTGACTGGGGGATATGGGCAGCTGCAGGCCCTGGCTACGGCTGGGATGGGGATTCTCCACTGTCTGGCTTTTCCCTGGGATCAGGAGGGATTTCTCCTCCTCTCCTCCAGCTTTCCCATCCCTCCAAACCCAGCAGCAGGGGGTTCAGTGCCATTCCCCTCTTACAAAGAGGGTTTTTTTCCCTCATTTGCCTTTTTTTTTGGGGGGGGGAGAATCCCTTCTTTTTTTGGCTGCTGCTCCTTTATTTGGGTGCCCCCCATAACTGAAGGCCTAGGTAGCCTTGGGCCACCCCTAACAATGCCTTGCCAACGCCTACAAGGGGTGTTTTGGGGGAAAAATATGTTAAAAAGGGGTGTAGGCCACACTGCTTCACTTCAAACTCAGTGCCTGTGCCTCAGTTTCCCTGGTTTTACTGCACCCACTGGACAGCTGGAGCATCTTCTTCCTCTTGGTGCCACAGTGCCAGGGGACCTCCTTGTCCCCAAAATCTGCCTACACTTGGAAGGAGCCAAATATGAGGGAAGTGAGGCAAAAACGGAGGAAAGACTCAAAAAATGGAGGAAAAGAGGCCAAAAAATGAGGGGGGAAATTAAAAAACAAACAAACAAAGAAAAAAACAGAAAAGAAAAACCCAGAAAATAGAAAAGACCAAGTAATTCATAATGGCCTGAGCCAGGCCACATCCTGGCACCCACAGGCAGCAGCATGCCCTGCCCTGGTGGCACCTGTGCCATGTCACAGCCATGCAGTGCCACTCAGAGCCATCCCACGCTGGCACCCACCCTGCCAGCCGGGTTTCAGTTCCCCATTTCCCTGGGGTGCTGCTGCTGAGAGGAAAGGGAAGTGTTGCAGCCACAGCAGTGCCAGGCTGGGTGCCAGCACCTTGGGGCCCCCCAGCAGGTAAGAGGCACTCCCTGGTCCCCTCTTCCCGGCCACCTTGTCCCCAGTGTCCTCGGTGCTGCTCCCCTGGGGGGTGGCGGAGGTTCCTGGGGGTGCTGCCCCAATCTTGGGTCCTGAAGGAGCTTTTTGGGGACCCCAGGGAGAGGGAAGTTCACAGCCCTGGAGCATTTATGGGCTTGGAGGGGGGAGAGATGAGTGCTGGCACTGCCTGGAGCTGGGGTGGCAGTGGGGTGGCAGTGGGGTGACAGTGGGATGCAGTGGGGCTCAGCAGGGTTTAGGGGGGCACTGGGGGGTGATGGGGGCTCAGTGGGGCTCAGATAGGGTGTGAGGAGATGAATGGGGGCGCAGGGGGGCACCAGGGGGATAGAAGAAAGGTGCAGCAGCAGGGGGACTGATTCACAAGCCCCAAAATTGTGTCCCCAGCACTGACACCATGGCTGGGCTGTGCTCTGGGGACTGCTGAATGCCCAAACACCCCAAATGGGGGGACACAAGCTGACGGGACAGCCCCTGGACTCGTTTGTCTCTCTCCCTCTGCTGCCCCGTGCCCCATGCTGCCGGCTGGAGCTTGGGCACCTCCTCCCTGCCTCAGTTTCCCCTTGCCAGTGGCCACCCCGGGTTAGTGCCCGGGGCAGCAGGGGAAGCGGGGGCTGGCAGGGCAGGAGCGAGGGCAGGGAGGAGCAGCAGTCCCACTGCGGATGGACAGAGATGCTGCCCACGGCCAGAGATGCTGCCCACGGCAGGGCCAGGGGCTCATGTCGGGACCACATCTGCCACGCCGCTCCCAGCCTCCGGGGAAAGCAGAACCTCCTCCCCTGCTCGGAGCAGCCCAGAGGAGGCTGGGTGGGCTCTCGGAGCCCACGACACTAGAAATCTCCGGGGCGAGCGGTGCCGATCAGCGGCGGGAAGCGGCCGGAGGGTCGCGCCGGGCTCCGGGCATCTCCCGGCCGAGCCCGGCTGGCCGCGGGGCTTTGGCACCCCCTGCAGAGGCGCAGGAAGCCGCGCCGCCGGCTACCGCCGCATCCCGCCGCGATTTCCTCTGCCCCAGGGGGATGGCGGCGGCTTGGCCTTGTGCAAACCCTTCTGTGGGGGATAAGTGCCCTGGGAAGGGGAGAGGGGATGGTGGCAAGTGTGGCCACCACGCTGTGCCCTGCGGTCCCCACCGCTCTGCCTTCACCTCCTTGTTAGACCCCTAAATCCATCACTGTGGCTCAGAATCATGGAGTCACAGGAGGGTCTGGGCTGGAAGTGAACTTAAAGATTCATTCCAACCCCTGCCATGGGCACAGACACCTCGCACTAGCCCAGGCTGCTCCAAGCCCTGTCCAGCCTGGCCTTGGACACTTCTCTGGGTAGCCACAGCTTCTCTGGGTAGCCCAGCTCTCCCAGCCTGGCTCCAGAGCAGAGGGGCTCCAGCCCTGGAGCAGCTCCGGGGCCTCCTCTGGACTCTTTCCAGCAGCTCCAGCTCCTTGTGCTGCTGGCCCCAGGGCTGGGGCAGCTCTGCAGGTGGGCTCTCACCTCAGCTCAGGGGCAGAGGGGCACAGTCCAAATCCCTTTCCTGCTGCCCGGGCTGGGGGATCAGCCCAGGGCACGGGGGGCTGCCCATGGTTGGGTCATGTCCAGCTTCTCATCCACCAACACCCCTAAATCATCCTCAGGGCTGCTCTCCATGCCTTCATCCCCCAGCCTGTGTGGATACCAGAGGATGCTGATCCATCATGGACCTGCTGGTCCAGGCTGACCCTGCGAGGGCGTGTGTGACACCACGCAGACGAGTCACCAGCTGCCCCCCTGACATCCACAGGTGCCGCGGAGGGGCCGCGCCAGCGGGGAGGACGCTGAGGCTGGGAACAGCACCATGGCCAACCTGACAGCCGTGAGCACCGGCAGGAACTCGTGCACCTACCACGAGGAGTTCAAGCAGGTCCTGCTACCCCTGGTGTACTCGGTGGTGTTCCTAGTGGGGCTGCCCTTGAACGCCGTGGTCATCGGGCAGATCTGGCTGGCGCGGAAGGCGCTGAGCCGCACCACCATCTACATGCTCAACCTGGCCGTGGCTGACCTGCTCTACGTCTGCTCCCTGCCGCTCCTCATCTACAACTACACCCAGAAGGACTACTGGCCTTTCGGGGACTTCACCTGCAAATTCGTGCGCTTCCAGTTCTACACCAACCTGCACGGCAGCATCCTCTTCCTCACCTGCATCAGCGTCCAGCGCTACCTGGGCATCTGCCACCCCTTGGCCTCGTGGCACAAGAAGAAGGGCAAGAAGCTGACGTGGCTGGTGTGCGCGGCCGTGTGGTTCATCGTCATCGCCCAGTGCCTGCCCACCTTCGTCTTCGCCTCCACCGGCACGCAGAGGAACCGCACCGTCTGCTACGACCTGAGCGCGCCCGACCGCTCCGCCGCCTACTTCCCCTACGGCATCACCCTCACCTTCACCGGCTTCCTGCTGCCCTTCGTGGCCATCCTGGCCTGCTACTGCAGCATGGCGCGCATCCTGTGCCAGAAGGACCAGCGCATCGGCCTGGCCGTGCACAAGAGGAAGGACAAAGCCGTGCGCATGGTCATCATCGTGGTCATCGTCTTCTCCATCAGCTTCTTCCCCTTCCACCTCACCAAGACCATCTACCTGATCGTCCGCTCCTCGCCCGGCCTGCCCTGCCCGGCCCTGCAGGCCTTCGCCATCGCCTACAAGTGCACGCGGCCCTTCGCCAGCATGAACAGCGTCCTCGACCCCATCCTCTTCTACTTCACCCAGCGCAAGTTCCGGGAGAGCACCCGCTACCTCCTCGACAAGATGAGCTCCAAGTGGCGGCACGACCACTGCGTCACCCACGGCTCCTAGGCGAGGACGAGGCCCCCTCGGTGCCGCCGGGGCACGGAGCGATTTCGGCTCTAAGCTCCACGGAGCGGAGATGGCTTCTCTGGGGACATGCTGGAGGAGAGGAGGATGGCATCTCCCGAGCTTTCAGTGCTTTCAGCCCACCTCCAGCCTGCAGTGGTGCAGTATTTACCCCATCACAGACCCAGCGTCCTCTCCCTGGCTCGGTTGCTCACTCAGAGCAGCTCAGCACCTTGCTGGTCAAGCACCGACGCGATAAAAATCCCCTGGGACTGTGGAGAACAAGACGGGACCGTGGAGGACGCATCCCTGGCCCAGGACGAGCTGCTGGGGGATGATTTGTCCACGTGCTCAATTAAAAATTCCCTGATGGGGACAGCATGTGAAGGCTGGGAGGGTTTGGTTCAGCCCATACCGTGGGGCCATGTGTTTCTCCAGCTCAAGATCAGTGTCACGGATGGTTTGTGCAGCACTGGGACATCCCTGTCCCCCAGTGCCCGGAATGAGGCCACACCAGCAAGAGACACCGGCTCACTGCTATTGCCAGTGCTGTGAAATGGTGGAGGAGCACCCCTGGACGGACTGGGAACAGGGAAAGGGGACATCGGGGCAACTGGAACACCCACGCTGCATTTCCCACTGAAGCCATGCCCGTGGGCTGGGTTAGGCACAAGCTAGCAGCACTGTCACCTGCCTGGGGACCTTCATCTGAGTCCAGCTCCCTGCTTAGCCCAGCACCCTAAATCTGGCCCATCCTGGTGTCAGTGGTGCCCTGCTGTCACCTCCTAACCAGGATCCACCACCGTCGGAGCCAGCAGATGCAGACAATGCCCAGAGTTGGAAGATGCATGCCACAGAGAGCTACTCGGAGTCCTGGCCATGTCACCATGCATCCCACAGCTGGCTTGGGCTCTCCACGGGCCTGGGGATTGAGCTTTGCTCCCACAGCCTCTGTTGGGATGCTGCTCCCTCCAGGCGAGGAGGGATTTGCGAGGTGGATGCACCACTCATCGCTCTGCGGGTCTTCTCTAACATACAGGATGTATAGAATTAACTCCCTGCTCTTTCTCACATGGGTGTATACACCCACTGCATGTATAGACATAGAATATAGCCGAGCAGAGGGAGGTCTGTGGCCCAGCACAGGCTCTGCAGTGCAGAAATTCTCTGCCTGAACACAATGTATGTATCTATACAGTGTATATATATATATAAATATATATGTGGATAACTGCATTTATCATGTCTGCTTATAATAATCACACCTAAGTGGATTTAAATAATTTGCTTCAAATCCTCAGGGTTGAGCACCCCTCCGGCTTGGCTACCTGCAGCTGGCCAAGCATGCAGCTCCATCCTGACTTGCTCCCTGCAGGTACACAGTGTCTCCTCAGGTCACCCAGGCATCCAGTGCTGGCAGTCCCAGTGTGTCTCCTTGCTCATGAGGATGAGGAGGGCGTCCAGAGTGGTCACAGGCTCTTGGATGATGCTCAGAGATCTCAGCATCACAGCTGGGCTGGAACTGAGAGAGATCCTGCAGCAGCATTAGCTCAAACCGAAACTGGTTTTGCAGGAGCTGAGTCCGTGTCCTGAAGGTGACAATGACTGGGTTGGGGCACAGAATGTGATGGAGGAGGCAAAAACAAGCTCTGGATGCGTCTTTGGACTCCTGCAATGGAAGGGCAAAATGCTGGGGCTAGAGCAGTGGCTGGAGGGACAAGGCCAGCCCGATGTCCCCATCTCTTCCCAGACAGGAGGAAGGTGACGGGGTGGGAGGGCCGGGCCACGCCATCCGGACCCAGGAGAGGGCGCAAAATATTTAGATTTGGAGCAATCCGCCTGATCTGTGGGTGTCCACCCCGCTCCAGGGAGGGAGGGAGGAGCCCTGCACCGTCAGTGCCTGGATCGGACCCACGGGACGAGGTGGCAGAAAAAATCGAACCACAATAAAGCTCTGAGGGGGGGGCGGGGGGGAAACAATCAGCTTCCATAAAGTCTGGTGGTGGCTGCAAGGGCTGCACGGGCTCGGGTGGTCACATCCAACAGCCTCAGGATGATGTTCCTGATACTGGAATCACCAATTTTGAACGTTTTTAAGGGAAGGGGATGCACAGAGCTCTCTTTGGAGCTCATCATGTCCTGCCCCGCCTTGGGGTCCTGACAGCAGTTCCCTTGGCACCTCCAGGCCTAGAATCCAGGGTGATGGGAATAAAAGGATGCCTTAGGAATGGGGTGAATGCTTCAACAAATCTCCTTTGCTTGCCAAATGCTCACAGTCAGCAGCTGAGGAACAGCAGAACCCAGCAGGGATGAAACACACGGTTCTTCCCAAAATGCCAGCGGGGGGGACACGGTGGGGTGTCATCCCTGCAGGCATGAGACACCCAGGCCTGGGGGAAGCAGGGTGGAGGATGGGAAGGGAGAGCCAGGGAAGGAATACTTGCTGGGGTAGAGCATCTCAAGGCATCGCTGCGGGCGCTTTTTAGGTCCTGAAAAACGGAGGTGTTTGGTTTCTTTTTTTTCCCCTTTTTTTCTGTGCCTCGGGGTCAGAGCCAGCAATATCTTCTACATGGCCAGGACACCTCTCTAGCCCCATCCATGTCTCCAAGGCCACAGCTCACCCACCAGCTGTCCCAGCCACCTTCATTTTTCACATCCCCAGCAAAAAATCTGCTGTCTTGGGGGAAAAAAGGGTTATAGGCTTCAAATAGCAAGCGCTGACAAGTGATGCTGAAAACCCACGAGAAAGTCTGTTCACGGGGCAGTGCTTTGCTGGAGAGCTTTGCAAGTTGGGAACAAGGTGTTCTTCTTCCCTGAGATGAGCTGCAAAGCAGGGTCTGCTGCAATGGGAAGAATCTTTCACTGGCACTCACATTTTTGATTATTTGTCTTGTTTACCCCCTAAAAAGAAAAAGCCCGGAAGGGATGGAGGGAATCACTGAATGGTTTGGGTTGGGAGTGATCTTTAAGACCATCTAATTTCAACACACTGCCATGGGCAGGGACACCTTCTACTATCCCAGGTTGCTCCAAGCCGTTGACACTTCCAGAGATCCAGGGGCAGCCACAGCTTCTCTGGGCACCCTGTGCCAGGGCCTCCCCATCCTCACGGGGAAGAATTTCTTCTCAATATGCCACTTAAATCTCCCATATTTTAGTTAAAGCTGTCCCCCTCTCATCCTATCACAATATGCCCATGTAAAAAGTTGTTCTCCCACTTTTTGATAAGCCTTTTTATAAAAGGGAAGCGGAGATGAAGGATGCTGGGGGCGGGGGGGTGTGGAAGAAAGGATGCAGGGGCTAACGAAAGGATGCAGGAGAGGGGGTGAAAGATGCAGGGGGGTGCGAGGTGCTCCTGCTCAGCCTGGGAGCGAGAGGGCAGCTCTGAAACCGCCTTCCTCTCCCCCCCTCCTCCCCTCCAAAAACAAAAACAAACCAAAAACACCAAGAAAGAAAAAAGAAAAAAAAATAAATAATTTTTTTAAAAAGGGAGCAAAACTTCAACCCTCCCCCTCTGCGGGAGCAAACCCCGCCTCCGGGGAGGAAAGTTTATTTGAATGCAACAAATAAAAAAGCAGGGGGTGAGGGAGGAGGAAAAGCCAAAAAAAAAAAAAAAAAAAAAAAAAAG